CTTTTTTATATGTTTAGTCTATAGAATTTATAAAGTATGATTATATTAAATTTATAAATGCTTAGATTATATTTAGGACATTATATTATACATATGCGCACTACCCGATATGACAATCCGATATTTAGTCAATATCCCCCGATATATCCCCGATTTTCGCTATCCGACATGGATTTCAGTCATTTGACATGAACCCGACATCTGACATTTAAAACCTTGTGTGTGTGTGTGTATATATATATATATATATATATATATATATAGAGAGAGAGAGAGAGAGAGAAATGGGTATGCTTGGTACCAAGCATAAGTTTTTGTGTTTGGTAGTGATGTTGCATATTCCCCTCCACTCGTTAAAATCAAGACCCACATTCACATGGGTTGAGAACTGGTTTGGAATTGAAATGAGTAGATGGGAATAGGACATTTTAATAAGTAGAGGGGAATATGCCATCTCACTACCAAACACAAAATTTATGCTTTGTACCAAGCATACCCATTTCTCATATATGAGAAATATGGGTATGCTTGGTACCAAGCACAAATTTTGTGCTTGGTAGTGAGGTGGCATAATCCCCTCTACTCATTCAAATGGGGGATCACATTCACATTGGTTGAAAAGTGCATGGGGATATGTATCTATTTGAATGAGTGGTGCGAATAATGAGTGTGGGGGGATTCCCTTGTTCAGTAATGAAGCCTTCGGCTATCCATACTCGAACAAGATCCATTTGACGGAAAACATAGTCTTCTGGATACAGCGAGCAGCGGAGAAAGCACTGTTTAAGCTGAGAGGGCACATCTTTATAGCCTAAGGAGAGCGCTCCCGTTCCTGATTCAGGAAGCTCCCCTTTTACTGACCATGCTTGGCTTTTCTGGACCTTTTCCCATTCTCTCTTGCTTCTATCCTTTGTTTTCCAAAACACCGGCAATGGCTTTGATTGAGGAAGATTATCACATTTTTTAACAATCTGCTTCCTGATCCCCTGCAAATCCTGTATACCTTCATCAGCATCATTGTCAAATATACTTTTATGCAGCAATGCCTATCCATCATTAGCATCTAGCTTCTTCACTTTGTGGGTTTGAATTGCTTGCATGCTCTTAGCAACATCTTCATTTCTCATAGTAATGAGAATTCTATTTCTTGACCTACCTCTATTCTCTACGGGACTTTGCAGTGAATTCTCCCACAAATCAGATCGCCACACACCGTCGAGCACAAGAAAGAACCTCTTGCCTACAAGGACCGACCTAAGGAGAGGAAGAAGCTCTGCCTTAGTTTGATCATGGATAGGTTGGTCACCAGTAATACTCCTTATCGTCTGTTTCAACAGTTCAATCTCAAGTAATTTTGTGACGCACATACCCATATCCTTTTCTGAAAGTTGGCTTCTGTCTTCTGATGGTTATATATTTTCTGAGCAACTGACGTCTTACCTATTCCTCCAAGCCCAACAATCGCAAAAACAACCATACTTTCGCCTACAGACTGAACGATCAACACCACAAGCTTATTTGAAACAATTTTAGCTTCTACACCAACAATATCAGAATTTGGTAAAGGAGAACTCTGACGGAGGTTCACATGGGTCACATTTATATTCATACTAACATGTTGCAGACTAAGCATTAGCTTCTCTCTCGAGATCTGCTCAAGCCTCTGGTTTATCTTTTGAATTTCTTTACCAATTTTGTGAGGGAATGGAACACTTTGAAAAGTATAAAGCATGAAAAGAAAGGGAACCGATGGCGGCATACTGATGAGGTGGATGGTTGCGGTGGTCTCCTCCTCCTTTGAGAAATTCACAACCCTTGATTATGCAGAGGTCAATAATATCATCAGCATCATACATAACACCTCTCAGGTTGGAAAGCCAGCAGTTAATGGCTGCATCGTGGATTCTCCTCTGCTCTGCATCTGAGAGCATGTCTTTTATCATCCCGAGTCTTTCTGCAAACCTTTGAAGCTCGTCCTTGACGCCCAGTATCATCACCACCTCCTCTGTAGCCAATTGATTTAGCAAGCTCAAGCATCTCCCAACAAAGGAATCAAGAACCATTGCCGTTTCTCTCTTGCTGCTGCTTCTCTACCATGTGCAGTTTGTGGTTGCAGACTACAGGTACCTCAATATTGTCACGGTGATCAGATAACAGCACTTTCCCAACAATAATATTCTTCCCTTTAGCTATATGGGCAATGATGCAACCATAGGGCCTTTGCACCTTAATATCACTGCTTAATGTCTTTATTCCCGTCCCTATCAATGTTTTGTACGATTGCCATTTTGTAACATGATTCTTTGCATTCTGTCCACAAACCTTGCAATCTCTTATAGATTAGTAAATGGATGCAACCTGAACTAGAGATCAGACACTAGGAAGCATGACATAAGATATGTATACTGTATTCATTCTAAGTTGTGCCCAGTTTTGGCTGAAATCTAGCCTTGAGTTTATTTTTAGTAACAAATTTGCAGTCAGTTTAGATTAGAAAACAAAATCAGTTTGATTCAATTTGAATTGATTTGTTCTCTCTATCATAAGGAGTCTTTTAGATAGTTTTAAATTATTTTTTTATTTTAGGAATTCTATTCTTATTAGGAGTAGACTTGATTTTCTATTTAAGAAGAAGAATTGTAAACTCTATGAGTAGATCACTTTTATCAATAAAATTTCTCTTATTAAATTTCTTCGTGGATTCAAAGTTCTTCGTAAATTCAAAGATTGTTCTTTGTAGATTCAAAATGCACCCATTGGTGGGTTCCGAGGCTTTTCACTTCCGCACTGCGTTAATTGGTATCAGAGCCCTATTTCTGATTTGACTGCAAATGACGAAGCCGCTATTACCCGAAATCAAATTAAGACTCATACAAACCAACTTGTGTTGGTAATGGAGCATCCGAATCCAGGATGAGTTCACATTGATTGTGTCTAAAGACGTGATAGGTATCTGCAGAAAGAAATGAACAACAGTCCCACACCAAAATTGTGATCGTCAAAACTACTCAAGATGAGATATCTATGATACTAAAAACATGAAGGTTGAGTTAACGTCTTTCAATTGAAACTTGATGTAGAATATTTTCTTCATTGGATTGATAAGATAAGAGAGATTTTTCTGGTACTTGGGAATCGCAGAAAATTAGAAAGTAAAGCAAATAGCCTAACAACTGAAGAGTAAAACAGCTTTTTGATGGCAATCATTATGTGAGGAACGTACCCATCAACAAAAACAAAAAAAATCCAATCATGGACGAAGATGAAGGAATTGTTGAAAGCTCGTTTCCTCCCTCCTACTATTACGTGCTCAATCGATATCCAATTTCGTATTCTAACCATGACTATGGAAAGATTAAGAAACCCCAATCTACCCCTAACAGCCCTAAGTAGGATCTTCAAGAAGAACCACCTAAAAGGTACAATATTTTCTGCATGAGATGCACCGTGATGCAGTAGATTTGAAATGTTATCATTAACAGTAGCAGTAGCAAGAATTTTATTAGGAGTAGAGATTATTTTTCTGTTTAAGAAGAAGAATTGTAAATCCTATTAGCAAGAATCTTATTAGGAGTAGCAAGAATCTTATTAGGAGTAGATATTATTTTTCTATTTAAGAAGAAGAATTGTAAATCCTATAGGTAGATAGCTTTTATCAATAAAATTCTTTGGATTCAAAGTTCTTCATGGATTCTAATATTGTTCTTTGTGGATTCAAAAAGCACCCATTAGTAGATTCCAAGATTTATCATTTCTGAGTTGCGTTACTAGCACACATACAATTTAGAAGGAGTTTACTCATTTATGAGTTATGGAAAGAAATGTCACACAAGTGAAGTTTAATGGTGGGGTTAGGGGACAGATTGACAAGATCAGACAAAAGATGCAATAGATAAAGGACAATAGTTTCTGGCCAAGAGTTTGGAGATTACTTTGTTGATTTTCAAAGAAAAAGAAGAGTGTGACACAGATCTCAAGCACTTTTTGGCCATAATTCACCCCTAGAGAGTACTTCTTTCTTTTCATGTGTGTGTACATGTGAGCGAGTGAGAAAGAGAAGAGATAACTGTAATTATTTTATATAAAATGACGAACATAAAAAAAAACCTCACAGTCAACAGCAAATGTTTTAACAAGACATCAAAGGGTCTGTGAATTAAACGAAAATACAGTCAAAGGTTAAATTGGTGATATGACTACATGCTCAAAATACATAATTGTTGCATTAAGTCCAAATAACATGTTAGGAAGCGTCACCTTGCAAAATAAGCCCAAACGATAGACACTGAAAAATGTAGTCGGAGTATTTTCTGAGAGATTAAATACTTACAAGATGATCATCAGCTCTTAAAAAAATAATTAACCATCACCCATAAGAATTCCATAGAACATTGCATCAGACTTGCTTCTGTTGGGGTTCTAATCGGTTCAACATGCATGACAACGTTGCGCTTCCTATAGACGCACTCAACTAAGGAAGAGAATCTAACTCTAAAAAAAAAATAGAAATTCACTGATTTCAATTCCTCAGATAAAGTTAACAGACCGACCCTTTGTCTAGAAATCTGAAAAGAGACTCGAGGGAATGATACAGTGCAAGAAACTTCAGTAACATCCTGATGTTTGCTGGTCTAATAGGTAGCAGAAATGCAGGACAAAAAAAAAAGACAAGAGAAAGAAAGATTACCTTGCAGCAAATTAACTGAGGTCGCTGGTTATCAATTATCCAAAATCCTGAAGATTCCTTTGGTCCTTATCTTAGATCACTTTTCTTTTTTTTTTTCCCTGTTAGGTAGCAAGCAAGTTACTCTATTAAGATGTAGCAAATGTATTTCACTCAACTAAAATAGTGAGAACAAAATTCTAAAGATCAATAGCATTACCTCAAAGACGTTCCAACAATTGCAAACAACTATGAGGAATTTGAATGGTTAATGAAATGATATAAAACAAACAGTCTGATCTCAATCAGAGAAATCATTTCCTTGGAGAAAACGAAGTACGTTGAGAATATTTCCAATCATTGTATCAGCTGTGTGACCAACTTATTTAATCCTTTACATAACAAATTTCATACATACAGGGGAAACTTTTACAGCTTTATATGTGGACCAGAAAAAGAACAGAGAAAAAAAATCTATAAAATACAAAACAACCAGTAGATATAGTGTATGAAGAAGAGGAAAAAAGAAAGTCCAAAATGCCAAAGAGTCAGTAAATATTTTGTATGGAAATACAAAAAATTTGAAGAGCCTTTAAGGAACGTGTTATCAATAAACAGTCCGAACATCTATTGTTTTCTCCCTTGCTCTGTATTCAATTTTAACATGACATCTGTCAATTTCATTCATGCAATATTTAAGTGATGCTCTCTCCATTAGTAGACTTATCCTTCCATGAGCAAATCCCCTATTGCATCTACTCCTTTGAAGACCATGAGTTCGTAGTCAAGGAAGTCTTTCATAGACCTCAGCAGAGGAATTCACTACTATTGATCCCTTTCATCTGAAGCCACTTGATATTGAAGTAATATTTTCTCATCATTGTCCTCAATCTCAAAGTCGCCTTGCCCATAAACATTATTGACATCCCTCCCTTTTCGAGATTCAAACAGGTAGTCTTGAGGCATATCTTCTGCATCTTGAGGACTTTCAAGGTCTATGTTCTGCATCTCAGACTCGATTAAAGACTCCATCCTTGCCCTCTCTCTATCTCGAGGGTATGTGAAATAAAGGAGGGAGTAGATTAAGCAACAGCTGGCCATTGGAATTGCTATTGCAGAGTATAGAGCCTTGGCAAGAGAAGCAGCATTCTCTCGGTCTGTCTCAATGCGTGCACCCTTACTTGAACCTGAAGCAATTGGTTTGTAGCCATAAACATGCTCAGATAAAACTCCAACAATGGGAGGAGCAAATGATGAAAGTACAGATTCGAATGATCTATCAAGAGCATAAATACTCGTCCTTGATCGCTCAGGGACAATCTCTGCAAATATAGGACTTCAGCCACAACAAAGAGCAAATATAATTTAGTACAAAAACAAGCTGCTATCCTGGAACGCAGTAAACAGGAAACAAAAAATGAAACCAAAAATATATATTAAAAAGGGTTAATTGCAAATAGAATCCCTATATTAACACCCAATTGCAAATAGACCCCCTACAGTTCTATTTGTTGTAGCGAATAGAACCCTGTAAGGAGGCCGACACGTGTCCCACCCTGTGCCTAAATAGCCATATTTAGAGAGGGACGACTCGAGTGACTCTAGCAGTCGATCCAATGGGCCGACAACTTGCGAAGTCGACTAAAAAGGCAGTACTTGTCGACCACCCATAGGATCGAGACGAGAAGCATCCTTATTGGCCCAGGTGCAAATACATCACCTTAGTGAACTTTTACGGCTCTTTTAAAAGTTAAAAAAATTAGAAATTGAGTGTCTATACTCACCAATAGAATTATTAGGGGTATACCTACCTCCTCAAACCTTGTTAACAATTACAAGAGTGAAAGAAAAAAAGAGAAAACACTCAGGGTGTCTGTTCGCAATTAACCCTATTAGAAAACAAGCAGATCACAAGAGACCGTTTCACATAGTTTAGAACTAATTGATAGACATCAAAAGTTGAGATTAATCAATCCAATTGAGAAAGAAAGTGCACTGAGATTCTTATTTAAATGCAGTGTAGAATTTCCCCAATCAACTAAATAAAGAAATAAAGTATGCAAGTTGTTTACAAAGATCTCAGCTCCTTGGTATGCACCTTATCTTGTCAAGCCTTCATCATTAGGTTAACATGATAACATCAGACTTCTTGTAAATTTATCCCTGTTAAAACTTTCTTAGAGAGAAAGTGCTGGCCTTAATTGTCATTTTTGGGAGTAAACAGAGGGAGTTTCCGCTCCCCCACACACCCAAACCCAAATCTCCTGCTAGTGCCCTCCATTTAAGAGAAGTTATGAAATACGAGTACAAGGGAGAAAGCCTAAGAAAGATACAGAAGATGACCAGTATTGATCTCCATATAATATCTTTGTGTTTGAAGTTGAGGTTACATACATTCATTATAAGCTTAGCAAGATAAGCAAAAAAAGTTGGGCCATAAATTGACTCAAATCTCAGACAAAGATAAAACTGCCCCTAAAATTTTACATGAGGATTGAACACATGTAGCATGCTCATTCGCTCGTTGGCCTCAAGATGTTAGAGAAGTTGCTTGCCACCCCAGAATTTTATGTTTATCATCACTGAAGCATGATCTATAATTTTGTAAAAAAATAGAGCTACAACCTTAAAAATTCAATTTATGGAACAGCAATAGAACATGATCAACACAAAGAGAATGATGCAAAGAGATGCTTTTTCTTTAAAAATAAAAGTGAAAACTATCGAACATCTGCTATTTAATGGTCTCTATTATTGAGTAGCTGTGCCTTCCATACACAGTCATGGCCAAGCAGAATGTTGTTTTACTTAGTTATGCTAATCTGATGTCCATGCTTTTCTTATGGACTATAAAGAAGTAGCCAAACCCTGCTCCTATCTATTAATACTTGATGAGATAGAAACAAGACAAAATGCATACTTGTTCGTGGCAGCAGCATTCCATGAGATGCTCAATCCCATGATGAACAGGACCAGACCATGAGCAACACCTGTAGAGGGGTCATCAGGCAACGCTAGCAGTAGCACAGCTCCGAGAGGAATGGCAGAACCAGAGCTTATCTGTGATAAAATAATCCTACCAGAGTTTGGAAAACGTTTCGATAGATAATCCCCCATCTTTCCTCCAAACAGTCCTCCAAGTGAATTGGCAACTACAAACATGCCCATAAGGAATCCAGTTCCTTTATGCGAGAATCCAATGAGCTCCAGCCACATAGGTGCAAAAGATAGAGCTGACCATGGAAATGATCCACTAACACCCTGAGCAACAATAATCTGGAAAGATGGAATTTTCATCACCGCCTTGGCTTCTTTAACCAACGCCGTCATTTCAGTTGTTAAAGACTTGGGTGAACTCTTCGTGTCACTTCTGCCATCACTGTTGGAAAAATGTGGATCTACTGCATAATATAGAACCAAAATTCCTACTATAATACTTATTATGCCGACCAAATGGAAAGCAACTCTCCAACCCTCAATCCCCATGACGGAAGTTGACGCTAGTAGGAGAGAAAAAAAGCCACCAATGATAGACCCGATGTTAGAGGTTAGCTGAAGCCATCCAAATGCACTACCACGGTTACTGTCATCAGTGGAATCTGCAACGAGGGACTGGATTGCAGGTGTCACTAAGGCTAGCCCAACCCCATTGAAGGCTCTTGATATTGCTACCTGCAGAACAGGGAAAAGAGAAACTAAGTATATGCGCACAACCTTCTCTATTTTGTCAGTAATCAGTAATGACGATCTCATATTCCGTCCTTCAAAGAATTAACCAACTCTGACATCTGATTCTTACATTCCTTTACAAGTGACAAGAACACTCTGTTTTCTAGTTCTCTTTTCTGATTTGCACTTTCATCAATCTCCTCTCCAAAATCAAAAGGAGCATAGGGTAACAATCAATGAACTTAAACAAATAACATTTCTATGTTCAATTTGATGTCTAAATCACAATTGCCAAACACTACAGTCTTACTCTTGCATTATAAATAAATAGAAAAAAGATCTTCCATATATTAAAAGTTAGCAGTTATAATCCCTCCTTTATAAATAATGAGAAATTTGGGGCACTCCTAAAGGCAAAAAAAATGGCATGTATCATATCAAAGGTGACATGTGGACAATTAATCATATATTCACCTAAACATTCTAATCAATTAAATCTATCCATAATTAGAAAATTCTAATTACAGTCAAATATTTCCGTAGTCCTCATCAAATCATATTTATCCATAATTAAAATATTTTTAATTCTCTTCTCCTTTATATATAAAGAAAGGATTAGTGGTTTACTCATAGCATTACATCTCAAAAATTGCCACGTCGAATTTCTTAAAGGATAAAGGGTAATTATTACCAAACCCCCATCAAGTTTGCCCGCTTACTCTGAAACCCGTCGACGTTATTTTTTTTAATTTATATATAGGATCTATTAAGGGTGGGTATGTTTGGCTACTACTTATTTTATGATTCCTTATAAGTTACTTATTATTTAGTTTTATTTATTTTGTTAAAGAGAAAGATTGTCTTTTAACATCAATAAGTAAATCTACTTATATGTAGCCAAAAAATAAGTTAGAGATCCCAACTTACTTTTTACTACTTATAAAGTAAAAAATAGTAGTATGTAAATTCTTACCAAATATGATCTTGGCATCTTATAAGTAAAAAGATACTTATAAGTGAAAATAAGTATAATGCCAAACATGCTCCAAGTCTTAGTTAAATTGGCATGCAAAACTCACATGATTTTTACATTCTCAAATCACCCTCTTCTTCTTCCTCTTAGTTTGGTTCTCTTTACTCTCATTTCATCTTAGGCAAACATTTGGATATTCAACATATTTTAGATGTCAGAGAGGAGTATAGATGTGAATTTTCTTTTCTTCTTTCACTTCCTCTTTCTTCTCGTTCTCCAACTTTTCTTTTTTGCTTTCCATATTTCAACAACGCTGCAGCCTGATCATCATTCAAATCTCTCATTCTCAACCCACAACTTGTCAAAGATGAAGATATAAACATTTTCACATGCTACTGTAATTCAAGGGCTACAATTCTTATTTTATAGACTAGGGTAAATTGGGGAAAAAAGATTTTACGAATGTAAGAATCAAAGTTGCAAATTTGGAGTCGGTGTGACAAAGACTTATCAAATTGGATAAAATTTTTGTTGAATATTTTGTAGGACAAGAAAAATAAACTGGAGGCAATCAATGGATCCCTTCATCAAAACGCCAATAGCATTGAAAATGAGAATGAGAGGCTTAGAAATTGCAACAGAACTATAATGGATATGAATATGGATCTTCAAACTGAAATTGCTGAATTTAGGCATTAACTGAAAAGTTGGAGGGGAAAAAATGTAACTATTGGTTTATATTTTCAATGCTTGTTCTTCTCTTATTTATCATATTTCTAGATCATGCAATGTAATGGATGGTGTATGCTTAAAGTTGTTAATCAATGAAAATTTTCCTTTCATTATTCTTTTGGGCTTCATATGAGTTTTGAATGATGAATATACATACATGTAAACATCAATGAGTAAGAAAGTCCACAAGTCAATATGGTGAAATTAAAATTCCACATTGCAATTGTGTAATATGGATGATGAGAATAATCCTCAAAGATTAAGTTTTTTGCATTGCTTTTTATGAAAGCATATACGTGATAAGAATGAAACAAAACAAAGGAAAGGTGAGAAGAAACTATGTTAGAGATTACTTGGGTCTAATATGAGAGAGAGGGGGGTGGGGATTTTGCAATAGTTGGGGAGGAAAAAGAGAAGAACTGAGTTAGAGATGAGAGGTATTTGAGGTAAAATGTCAAACATGTGGCATATACGTGCCAGAAACTTAACATAGCTTTAATGGTAGGGGGCTTTGTAATCAAAAAATAATCTCAGAGGGTTACATAATAAGTGGGTAAACTTAAAGGAGTTTCATAATATTTATAATGTGAGCGGAAAAACAAATTGAACTATATAATAGGGTAAAGATGGAAGAAAATTAGTTAAGCCCCTCTTTATACATACGAGGAGATTTCTGGTTTACTATTAATCTTACATCTCGATAAAACAACAACTTGTCCCCCCTAATTTCAAATTTGAAATTTTAAAATAAAAACCATCAACACACTTATTCAACTAGGTAGCATTTTTTTTCCTTTTTTAATTTTAGACTATTACAAAAAAGAGGGATACTATAACGGAGTAATTGGTGGTTAAGCCCTCTAATTTGAGTTTTAAATTTGAAAATAAAAATCATCCACACCCTTATTTTGTATTTTCTTTATAAGAAAAAAGCTACATCTCAAGTTATCTACTTTTGAAGGACCAACAGTCCAAAGAAAAAAGTTTCAATAAAATTCAATTTAAGCAAGACTATGACAAAAAACACTACTAGAGAACAAAAAAAAATAGATATACAAGTCAAAGAAACCAAACCTACCTGTGGGAGCATGGGCATAACATTGTAAGTTGTAATAAGAATGAAGTAAAGAGAATTTGTGGAACTCAAAGAATTAGTGAGGGATAGCCTGGTAACATGTTCCTTTCGTGTTACGGAACCTGTAGCAAGGAAAGTTAAATATGTAGATAAGGAGGAGCACCATGACAAGTTGAAAAAGAATAAAAAAGTCTTGTATAGAGTAGTTAAGGTGCTCAGGTTGGGCTTATAACTTCAACACCCTCGAAGGAAAGAAACTGCAACATCCGTGAATCATTTAACATCTATGTCAGTATTAAAACATTAGAGGTTTGCAGCTAATAAGCCAATCAACCTTGTCTAAATCAGTTAGATCATAAGTGGCAAAACTTTATTTGACAAGTCCAACCTGATATTACACTTATTGCTGGTATTTGTTAAAATAAAAGAAAGAAAAGAAGAATTTTTCTATATTCTCATTGATTACGAAGAAGAGGGTAATAACCCATACTTGTAAACCTTATAGAATTTCTACCAAAGAAGCTCTAATAAAAAAGGAAAGATAATAAAAGGAAAACTCTAATATTCTCTTTGACTATGAAAAGAAGGGTAATATCTCATACTTATACAGCTTGTAAAATAATATCAGTGTTGTAAATAGCGGCCAATAGCGGGGCTATAGCGGCGCGAATAGCGGTCGCGGCCCTTCAGCGCTACGCGTAGGGGTTTCGCGGCTGGCTTAAGCGGGAAAATCCGCTATTCATTCGAATAGCGCGTAAAAGCGGATTTTAGCGGGTTAAAAGCGGGTTTCCGCGGTTAAAAGCGGATTTTCGCGGTTAAAAGCGGATTTTTGTTGTTAAAAGCGGCTAAACCCGCTAAACCCGCTAAACCCGCTATCACACATATTATGATGCTATATTTATTGAATTTCTTCATAGTTTCATTCATACAACAAGCTTATTAATTGTTATTTATTGATAATACAAGAAATTTACAACTAATTGAATTTTTAGATTTTTTTATGAATTTTCTTATTAGTTAGGATATTTAAATATATTTAAATTTGACCGCTATTTGACTATGCGCTATTTGCCGTGATTTCGCCGTAATAGCCCAATATAGCCTTAGCGGTACCTCGCCACGACGCGATCCGCTATCAGCAACCTTGAATAATATATGAAAGAAAAACTCTAATAAGAAAAGAAAATATAAGAAAAGGAAAGTCCCAAAGAATAAGCAAGGTTACTGAAAGCGCTAAGCGGCTTAGGCATTAAACCCGACACCTAGAGCCAAGGCACCTAGACGGATTTCTTTCTATATTTAAGTGGTGGAAGAAGAGGTTTTGCTGAAAGTCGGAGGAGATAGATGAGGTGTTCAGAGTTGAAGGCTAGAGGAGTTTAGAGGACGTGAATGCTGCAAAGGGGGAAATTATGATCAATGCTAAAAGGATGCAGTCTATATACGTAGCCTACGCTCTCTTAGGCACTCCTAAAATCTAGATGGGCAACCTAGGTACCGTATAAGTGCTCGACACTAGGTGGGAGGCCTAAATACTACCTAGACGCCATGCAAGCTAAAGGGTGGCTTTTTAAAGCATTGAGAGTAAGATATTATATTTAACTAATATACTGAATTTGGAATCATCTATTTAAGGCAATAAATCATGGAATATTTGCTAATAGTAGTTAAGTCACCATTTGCAAACTCCATGTTTGCTTCACAATGACGCAACTCATCATGTATTGCAATATCTAAAAGGTGCGCTCCTAGTAAGGGTCTATGTATCATTCTTCAAATTATTTGTTGGTTGCAATGTTCAAAAACATGGTTTTATTATCTGTGTGGTTCGAGAGCGAGTTACGATTAATCAGATTATGTGTCGATTAATCGGATTATGCGGAATTATGCGTTTTTCAATTTTTTTTAACATATATTTATTATTTTTCATACATAATAATGTATATAATTCATAAAAGATAGAAGATAAACTAAGAAAAATGCAAATAAACATGTGACTGAGTAATCAATAAATAAGTAACTAATTAAATACTCAATCCAATGCATCCATCATCCATGCATACATCATAATTAACTAGCTACTCATATAAAAGTTACTAATTAAACATTTATATTAAAACAAAAAGTTCATAAACTAAAACAAAAGCATTTAATCTTCCTCATCATCCTCATAACGAATGTCAACATCCAACTCTTCTTCAGAGGGAGCCTCAAAATCATCATTATTATTCTCATCCAAATCATCTTCATTAGTCCCTTCATCAGTCATGTCATCAATAGCTGCACTAGAAGAAATATGTATTTTCATCTAAAATATAAAATATGTATGTTAAAGTAACATTAAGTAATTAACAAACATGATTGTTGATAATTTTCTAGTTAACATTATCAATTGCCACCAATATTTGTAATCAATAATGTACTTGATTCCTATTTCCTAATCATGTATAATGAACTATGAATTAATCAATCAGATAATCATGTATAATGAACTATGAATTAATCAATCAGAAGCATAGAACATTGATTATTTCATTGAACAATAGATAAAAAAATCAAAAAAGCAACCATCAACAGATAATTAAAAAATGAGAAAACTCACTCACCTTTATTGCCACCTCCTGTCGCCGCCGCCGCCTGCTGCTGCATGCTGTTGCTGCTGCCGCTTGCTATCGCTGGAGATAGGAGAGAGGGAGACGATGAGATGAAGGCAAGAAAGAGAGGGAGAGAGAGAGAGATGGGGGAGGTGGCCAGAGAGAGATAGAGAAAAAACCGTAGACAATGGTTTAGTTTGGGTTTTGTTTTCAAAATTAGGTTTAAAATATTTACGCGTTCTTTTTTTGGACCCGAAACCAATTAATACCAGTTTAAAACTCGGTCGCATATTCTTTTTATGCAGACGAATATGCTTTTTTGTCAGAATTATGCGGTTGACCACACATTTGACCAAATCAGCCCATTTTCAAGTGGAAATGGCCAATTCCGCATACTCGCCCACATATGCGGGCGAATAAACCGTTTTTAGAACCCTAGTTGGTTGCTCTGATACTGATTGGACAAATGAACCTCTTGATCATCATTCCATCACTTTACTATGGTATATTCGTTGATGAAAATTTGGTAACTTGAAGACCAAGAAGCAGACTATTTCGTGTGTTCTAGTGTTGAGGTTGAGTATCAAACTATGGATCATATTATTTGTGAGATGATATGAGTTGGTCTCTGCTTTGAGAGATTTGGTGTATCTCTTGCTCAAACAATGATTATGCATTATGATAATCAAGTTGCTAGCCATACTTCTAATAATGATATATTCCAGTGCATTACGTTACGCAGACACTTTATCCGTCAAATAGTACTGGCCAAAAAAATTGCCACATGCTATGTTTGTACGTGGGTAAGTTGGGTGGTATTTGCACTAAAACTTTGTCTATAAAAAGTTTCACTTTTTCAGTTTTTTGTAACACGTTGAACATGACAAATATTTATGCTTCCTCTTAAGGGGGATTATTAGTGTAGTATTTATTTTAGTTAGTTTATTCTCACATTGCTAATTTATGTAATTGTTTTCTCTTCACCTCGTGGTAAATAAGGCCTCGCTGTTTCACTCTGGAATTAAGTCAGTCCCAAACACAATAGTAACAAAGCTCCAAGCTCATAAATCATCTAGCCTCATTTCTAACTGGTTAGAACATTCAGTGTTAGATATGTGATTAAGCCAGTCAAGCTCATCTTACTCGCGTCACAAGTGAGGAAGCTATGTTTATATGCTAGTAGACATCAACTCAACCAATCACATTGTCAGTGTTAGAGCCAAACAGTCAACCAAATCACAAATTGAAGAACCCTGTTTCCACAAATTGTGTCCAGAGATAGAGCTCTACACCCGTAAATCAGTCACCTTGTACCCATCTAATCAAATTTCAACCAACAAAGCTCAGTGCTTACAAACCATCAACCTTGTCCTAGCTGGTCAGATCACAAGTGGAAGAGATTTAACTCATAAGTCAATCTACTTTGTCTAACTAGAGTACAACCACAGAATTTGAAGCTTGTAAGCTTGCCAACTTACTCGATACAATAACTAGAGGAGCAAGTTAAAGAAAACTAACGAAATCTCAAGGAAGAGATAAAAAAAGGTAAGTCTCTATGACCATTGTTAAAACAATCACATCATGTTCACACACTTTCTATTTATTTCTTACTTAATTGTTTGATTGTCCTTGCCGGTCTTGTTTAGCTTCTGTGCACCTCAACCATAAAATGTCAACGCATGGAATGGACCAAGAAAGTCAAAAACAAATTATGCACCTTAAGGAAAGTTGTCAATGAACTTGAATGAAATTTTGATGTTAAGCTCACTTCGGAGGTGGCTTGAATACTCACCTACATAATATTCGGATGACGGTCTCCTATAAATATGGTAAAACCCTCAAACCATCATGAAGCTCTTTATTGCTCACAATTCTCAACTCTGAAACCTATTGCACACCTTATCAGTCTATTTAAAAACAAGAGTAAAAAGAAAGCAATAAATGATATTCAATAATGTTCAAAACTACTGATTTATTAATGACATTTTAAAATGAGAAAAAAATCAACAATGGAATTTTGCAAATCCAATTTTAAGTTAGAGCACTGATAGGAAAGTGAAGAGGTTTGACCTAAATTTCCTTCTCCAAAGATGGGTTTTCTTTCAATTGTATTGATAATGGTGTTGATTCCTGAATCGTTTATTAGATGTGTCGAGCATATATTTTTCTTATATGAGTCAAGTCAACTCGGAGTTTGATCCATACCCGCCTCCCCCTACCCGGTTGTTTCCTTAGTCTTGTGAGCAAACACCCAATGTTGCTGCTCAGTCCCACAGTGATGTGGAGGAGAAGAGGTGTCCAACACAAACTCGAGAATGGTAACTCCTATTTGGACACAGTAGGTCCTCGACCTTCGAGAATACCTTATAACTAGCACTTGATAAGTTGGCTCGAGGTGAACTCTTAGTACTATAGCAGAAGTTTACGGGGTCACAGAAAGCAAAGTAGGGGCAAGCGCCTCCAATGGAAGTATCGTGTTCTTCAGACTAAGTTTTAATATTGCCTTAATATTCCCTCCAGGTGTTAGTTTTTTTTTAAACTTATTCATAATATTGCCCCCACCGTTAGTTATTGACCCCACTACCTCATGGATCCTCCCTCCGACAAACAACCACAGTCATTTTCGGACCTATCCCACCTAAAATGAGACATCCGATAAGTTCTCACTTGCCATTTTAAGAAACAAATCAGGCGTGCAAGGCCATGTCCCCTAAATCTACCATATAGTATCATAAATTTCGAGTTCAAAGTGTTTTCCCCAGAAAGGCGAGCAATTACCGACACTTGAGAGTCAAAATGCCTCCCCCAGGAAGGCAATCAGGCAACAAAACACAGCAAAAAACAATCTGTGCATATTCTCCTTTCCTAAGGGGTGATAACAAACGTCGCAAAAAAAATACTTGGGAACCTACTATGAATCTTGTCTCTGAGCGTGAGAAACATCAAACCGGTGCATATTTCCCTTCAATTGCTCGGGGATAATACGCCTCAATGGCTCTCAAGGCCAAGATACTAACTTTGAGCCCAGTTAGAAATTCATCTCCTAAGCGCGATTCAAAACCATAGGGTATTCAAATTTGAACGCAAACCCTTACCTGAAAGAAAGAGTCGGAGAGCGCAACGAGGAAGGTTGCCGCCGACCAAAGGAAAGCTCCGACGGCGATGACGTGGCAACGGTTGTACCGCGAGGCGACGAAGGCGGCGAGAGGGTAGCAAGCGGACTGGACCATGGATCTGAAGAGGGTCAGCGATCCGAGGCCGGTCGGCGTTGTGTGCAGGGCGGCGCCGACCTCGTTGTAGACCGCCGGAAGCAGAGATTCGTCGGCCTTCTCCATGATTCCGGCGAGGTTGACCAGGATCAGAGTCAAACGCTGCTCCCACTCCATTGGATTTGGGAGCAAGAGAGGCGAGAGGGGGTTTGGAAATGTGGGCCCAAATGGGACGATATCTGAAATGAGAGGAACGGGGAAATAAAACAGTTGGGATTCTATAATTAAGGGGCTGTTTGGTTCGTTTCCTTGATATAGAGAAATGCAATTCCATGTAAAGAAACACAAGTTTTGAGTTTTCCAAACTTTTCCAAGAAATAGATTGTTTTGCTTTGGTTTGCACATAAAAAATGGTGGGAAACCAATGTATTTATTTTTCTTGTGTTTGGTTCGCATAGAAAAAAAGGAAAACTTTTGTAAACAAAGCAGAGAAGGAAAAAATCTGACGTGGCAGAGTTTTTATCAATTTCACTTGGTTGGGGAAGAAAATCGGAGAGGGAAAAAAATCTTAGTTGGCGGCGATTTCAGCAGAGTTTTCCCTCTTCCATTCGAGCGAACCAAAGCGGCACAAAGAAATGGACGGAAACAAAAAAGCTGACGTGGAGGGGTTTTCTGAGTTTTCCACCCCTTATAATAGCGAACCAAACAGCCCCTAAGAAAACTAGTTTGCGGTCCGTGTAAAGCACGGTATTTTATTTATTTTTTGCTACAGTAATCCCTTTTTATAATATGCTATGATTTGAATTTTTGAAAGTGCTACAGTATCCCGCTCTGCTACAGTACCTTTTAAATGTTACAGTATACCCGTGTGTTACAGTAATATTTTAAATTAATTGTTAGCTACAGTAATAGTATTACAGTAAATGCTACCGTAGCATTTACTGTAGCATGAACAGTGAATCTCTGATCCTCCTATTTGTATAAAGGAATAGATATATGATATATAATACTATTAGAATTTGAAACGCTGTCGTAAACTTAATTAGGTACTTCATACTTGCAACATATCTAGTTGGATAATTTTCATGTAGAACATATCTTAGGAAGTATAATTTTTCAATGCTTAATATCTATATAAGAAGTGAAGAATCCATAAAAAAAAGAACTGCCTGTTAGAAGGAGGAAGAATTCAAACTAAACCCATATCTAAATTTCTTTTAGACAATCTAAAACTCAAATAAACCTTAGCATACGGCCACCATACTCATTGCAATTTTAGTGCCCACATGAACTTACTTTGCACAGGGTCAGCTTGGTATTTCTATATCGTAATAATCTGTTCGGACGGTTTCTTGGAAACCAAAGAAAAGTAAAATGGAAATGGAAACCATCAAAGCATGGTTGCCTAAAATTTCCTTCATGAGAATAAGGGGATGCCACATCACCCCTTTTCTTGTTTTTAAGTTGCGGACCAGACAAAGAAAATGAATTTGTCACGGGAAATATGTATCCTTTAATACACTCCCTTAAAACTTTGGGAAACCAAACAATCCCTAAGTTACTTATATAAGAGCTAATAGAAGCAACTTATACAAGTTGCTAAAAATAATTGTTTAGTAATTATATATCAAAAGGTGCTTTAGAAAGCAATTAAGATGTCTAGTTAAATTATGCTAAAAGATTATTATGAGTGAAAATGACAAAAATACACATAATTTTAGTTTCATGTTTATTGGTAGTGAAAAGCATTGTCAAAAAACTAAAGGGTAAATATTGTATATAAAATAAGAAAAACATATGTTGCTTTTATTTTTTTTAAAACTAAAGCAGTTTAATAAGCATGCCCAAATAGTTTTCACTAAACATCATTAATAACCGCTTCTTAAAAAATAGGGAAAAATGTGTCAAGGCCCCAAAAATAAAAAGAGGATGTGGCCAGCCCCCCCCCCCCCCCCCCCCAAAAAAAAAAAAAAAATATTTTTTGGGTGACAAAGCCCCCAATACAACATTCACTTGTGTTTCAGCCCCTATTTAGCTTTCCAACACAGCACAGTGACAAACATTTGTTCAAAACCCAAAACTGCCCTTAACCCATTTCGTTTCTTCTTCTTCTTCTTTCTTCTTCTTCTTCTTCTTCACTTCTTTAGCCTCTTAGTTTTTGGGCTTTTCCTTTGTTTCTTTCTTTCTTCTTCTTCACTTCTTTAGCATCTTAGTCTTCTGAAGCACTCTGTTCATCTTACTTCTTCTGAGACTCATTTCACTTCTTCCTCTTCTCAATTGAAGGTATGAGTAAACAAGAGGAGCTCAATTTCCTCAAGATACAGGTACTTTTATCCCTCTGTCCATATGTATATACACACACACACACACACACACACACACACACACATATGTATGTGTGTGTTGTTGGCCTTCTTGTTTTGATGATGTTTAACAATAATTTACGACTAATATTGTTTGTCTAGTATTTGTGTTTATCTATTTATTATAGACAAACAATATGTTGGAGGATGGATGGAATTGCGCCTACACGATCATATCCAATGGAGGTTGGAGGAATAGTGGGTGAAGCCTATGCAATTCAAATTGAAGATCCAAGTTCTAACTTCATCCGCAAGTGTACCAAGTTGAGCTACATCGAAGATCAATTAAGCTTGGGTAACATTTAGTTTAGGTGTTATGTTATGTGTGTTGATACTTTAAGCTCAATTATATACACACATACACATTTTGGTTTTTGTAGATATATAGTTATATATATACATATATGTTTTGGTTTAGCTAGATAGATATGAAACAATATATATCTTCATATATATTTTTATATGTTTTATATTCTATTTTATTTGAAAAAATATTATGTTCTTGTTTTATTAGTTTATAGACTTTAATATCAGTTTATATCAATTCATTAAGTCTATAAAATCATTTTACAAAAGTTTCGATGTCGTGTTTATATCAAACGACAAAAACATGTATGTTTAGTTTTCATGTTTTTGGACATATTTGAAAAATGATGAGTTTTCACTATTGAGGAGTGCAATTCTAAAAATTCTTTTTGTAACATGTTCATTTACATGTTTACAATGATTTCCCAAAGTTTTATATTTTTTGAAATTTATTTGCTATTTTTAAAGGCAGTTTAAAAATCAGCATTTCATTTTCAAACCTGGATATCTGAAATATCAGTTCGCGATCGACCGTCCTTGGCGTTACGGTCGACCGCCGATAGTCTAGAGACTGTACTCTATTTTTCAACAGCTCGCGGTAGACCGTCCTTGGCGCTATGGTCGACCGCCAATTTTCCAGAGACTTGAGATTATTTTTCAGAACTTCCCACGGTCGACTGGATGTGGCTCTACGGTCGATCGTGACTTTTTCAACCTGTTTCCCAACAGCTAGTTTTGGCTCGCGGTCGACCGCCAATTTTCCAGNTCGCGGTCGACCGCCAGTGGCTCTGCGGTCGACCGCCAATCAATAACGGCTATATTTCTGTACTTTCTAGATTTTGTGGGATTTGGTTTTTTTGGTCATTTTGCTTGGGTTTCTACTGATGTTTTGGGTTCCTATAAATACCCCATTGCTCTCATCTTTCAGATCAACTAATTAAATATTTTAAACAAGTTTAAAAGAGTTTTAAATAAGGGTTTAAGTTTGTTTAATGTTTGTTTAGAAGCTTTTAAGCAATTGAGGGTTTGAGTTTATGAAATCAATTCTACAAGAACTTGAGGAGATCATCTATTGGAGTTTGAGCATCCAACTATTCTCCCTCTATCTCTTGATCCATTAAGAAGTTTTTTAAACTTTATTTCTAGCTCTTTTATATATTTGATTATCATTGTTATTAAGCTAGAGTTATATTGAGTTTAGTTTTGATTTATTTTATCTCTTTGTACACACATAACCATTGAGCTTATTGTATTTACATACATTGTGTAATTGGGTTGTGGGTTTGTGTGACTTAGAGAGTGAGCTTACAATTTGTTCTCATCCATTATAGAGAACAAACACTTTGTATGTGTGCTTAAATTGTGAGGTTCACCTTGTAATACACTAGTACACCAAGAGGAGTGTGTAGTGAGAGACGGGGTCGTCCCAAGAAGAGTGCGGTAGGTGATAATGCCTAGATGTAGGTTGTAATTCCTAACACTTGAGGGAGACACAGGCTAGAGACCAACACTTGAGGTGGTAGTTAGTGTAGTTACATTGTGAGTGTGGATTGTAAAGTTTTCGGTTAGCTAGAAAATCGTATTGTGAGGTGTAAATGTTTTTCGGGTAAGCATAGAAAACCCGGTGTAATAGTGGAGATCTCCTCGAGGTGAGGAGCGGAGACGTAGGTCGTGGGGACCGAACTCCATGATCATATCGTTTGTTTGAGTTTGCATTGGCGCACTTATTTTTGTGTTTATCATTATATCGCCTTTGTCAATTGCTCATTGTTTATATTGCTCACTATCTTATTTATCTTGTTTATAGATTGTTTACCCTTGTGTTATTTATATATCCTTGCATATATATTGTTCATATCTCTTGTGCTAGGATATACTTATTAGTAAAGTTTTATTTTCTTGAATAAGTTTTAATTGGCATTTAAATCGGATTAGATTAGCATAAACCCTATTCACCCCCTCTAGGATTCTTTCTTAGTGGCATTAGGGTCTAACAATTGGTATCAGAGCTTGGTGCTCTTTGATTTAAGGACTAATCGCCTTGAGTTAAAGATCCAAGTTATCTTATTTTTGTGCTAATCTAGTTTTGTGATTTTTTTTGTTATCTTGCTTGCACATATATACATTATGGATATGCACGGTGCACCTTGTTTAGGTTATGCCATCAATATTGCTCCTAGATTAGATCATTTCCCCTATGTCCAATGGTGTGTTAGATTTAAACTTTTTGTTCGATCTAGACACTTCGATTTATGGGAAATTATAGATGATGCTTATATTGTGCTCACTTCGGAGAAATCCAAGTGGAATAAAAATGATCATCGTATGTTTACCATGAATAAGCTTTTGTTAGAATTTTTACATAATGCGTTTGATTAATCTATGTCTAACAAGCTTGATTCTTTTGATAGTGATTACACATTATGGAAACTTATAGAAGCATGTCAAGGGAATTTAGAGGTGATCCGACAAGCTTTGGAGGATTCAGCTTCTAGTTCATGTGGAGCTTTATCATCTTGCACACGGCCACTAGGCGATAGCCCTAGTGTAGTAAGCGATTCAGAGTCCGATAGTGA